GTTCCCTTCCGGGGGTTAGGAGGGAGGTATTTCTTGCAAAACCAAAACCAAACCCATATAGGCTACAAAACAATCAAAGCTTTGGATGAGGGAGTGGTCCTTGACACAAGAGATGAGACGTGTAGTTCTTGTCCAGTTTGCAGACTTTGTACCAAAGTTAGGACATTTAAGGCTCTTTTTCCCCCGATTAATTTGTGTCCAATGATCTGACTTGGCAAATAGGACCAACTTGAAAGGCAAATACAAATGTATAATTAAAGCATTTGAAGGGTTTCATGGCAGAATGCACTGTGATATTCATTACAAAACTGAGAAAGATGGGACAATACTCTTCTCTGGAAATTTAAGATAGGCCTACTTATAAAGGTCGAGGGATACAGCATTTTGATTTTAAAATAGAAATAAAACAACAACAACAACAACAGCAACAAACAAAACGAAACAAAAAGCCCCTAACAGAGAGAAACAAACAACAACAACAAAAGCCTAATTTAAGAATCTTGCAACAAGACTATGGAGTACACAAGGTATAATCATGCTAAAATTATTCACAAACGAGACAACATTCCTTCTGCATCTAGGCGAAATATCGGTTCTCAACTAAACCTTGTCAATTCAAGTATTTCAAGTTTCAATTTTTAAAAGTTTAATATTCGAAGAACGGGGTTGGGGGGGATAAGTTCGTCGTTTGAAGGTGTAATCCCGTATTTGTGGATAAGATGCTTTTCGTGTAGAATGGTTATCACTTTTGGCATGCATGCATAATATCTCTTAAAAAGATCGTTGTTGTTCATTTTTTCTTCAATTTGCCTCCTTGTTAGAAATGTCTCACATTGAAAGGATTTCTGAGTAAGGGAAGGAAATAAAGAGCACATTGGCACTCTGATGATGATGATGATGATGATGATGATGATGATGATGATGATGATGATGATGATAACGACAATAGCAACAGCAATAAAAACAATAACAATACTAATAAAAATAACACTAATAAAAATATAACAATAGTAATAATAATAATAATAATAATAATAATAATAATAATAATAATAATAATGATAATAATAACAATAGTAATAATAATAGTGATGATGATGATAATAATTATGATAATAATATAAATGATAAAAATGATAATAATGGTAGTGACAATAATAATACTACTAATAATATTAATAATAATAATAATAACAATAATATTAATAATAATAATAATAAAAAAAATAATAATATTAATAATAATAATAATAATAATATTATTATTATTAATAATAATAATAATAATCATAATAATAATAATAACAATAATAATAATAATAATAATAATAATAATAATAATAATAATAATAATAATAATATAATAATAATAATATAATAATAATAATATAATAATAATAATATAATAATAATAATAATGATAATAATAATAATAATAATAATAATAATAATAATAATAATAATAATAATAATAATAATAATAATAATAATAAATTTCATTTATAAAATCTACAACTGAAATAAAATATTAAAAAGTAAAACTGAACCTCCTGCATGCAAACGTGTAGTCTTTTGAGAATGAAATGTTCGACATTCAATGTACAACTTTCACTTCCTTCCTTCTGATTACAATTTTTTCTCTCCTTCACTTTATCAGTTGTGTTTTCATTTTCCTTTCAGAAAAATTAACCCAACCGAGACAGAGAGAGGAAAACGAACAGTAGAAAATGGAAGGATACAGAATTCCCAAGAAAAAACCAAGCAACAGCGATTCCTATGACTTATATAGCACGCTGTCCAAGGAAGAAGCGAGACTAGAAAGAGAGAAGATAGCTCGGATGGCCAAGGAAGCGTGGGAGAGAGCCCAAAAGAAAGACTATTCAGACACAGAAAACAAAACCAGTCGAAAAAGGAAGTCGACTCACCAAAGCAGCAGCAGTAGTAAACGTTTCAGGTCTTCTCACAGCCAATCGTCAGGGAACCATGACAACAGATGGAAGTTCAGTCTTTCACCGTTATCTGCCAGAGAAACGAACCCGGAACCTGCTAAACCACCAAAGAAGCCAATCGTCAGACACGCTAACAAATATGGCGTCCCCCCGCCCATGGACTTTAAGACTGTTCTTGCTATGGCTGAAGAAACTAAGAAAGACAAGATGAGACCCACAGCAGCAATCTCGATAAAGAAGAAAGAGAACAACATGAGACAAAAGGCAAAAGAGGAGGGGAAGAAGCAGAGGTCAAAGGCCAAGCAGGAAAAGAAGAAGCAGTTGCCAAAGGCTCAAGACAAAGAGAAGGAGAAAACAAAGTCTGTAGAGTGTCGCCGTTTGTTGAAATCTGGTGGTGGCAAACCCCCTCGCCAGAGAGACGGGTCAGAAGATGGCGCCGCTTCTCCACCTGGGACGTCCCAGACGAGGACATCGACACTCGCTTCTTGTTCATCGAGGGACAAACCAAAGAGCCCGCCGGAGAGCCAGTCCGTGACTGGTGTGGGTGCCGAGTCGCCGTACAACAACAACAGCAGCAAACGTAGCAAAAGAAGCCACAGGAGCAGCCACAAAAGTCGCAAAAACAGCAACAGCATCAAGAAAAACCGAAGCATTAGCAATGACAACAATAACAACATTGTGACCAGCTACAACAGTGAGAGCAATAAGACCACCACCACCACCACCACCAACAACAACAACAACAACCCCGGTGCCAGCGAGAAAGAGACTGTTCCAGTGTGTGGCCGGAGCGATGTGGACGAGACAGAGGAAGCGACAACGTCATCTCCTCAGAATTCCATAAATCCTTTTGATGAGACCGCCAGCCACGTTCAGGAAAAGCCATGCCCTCAACTTCAGTCGGGTAAGTTGTCCATTCTTCCAATGATTTAACAACATTTTGCTATTCATCAGGACAAATCATGAGTCCGCTGCCC